AGCGCAAAGAGAAAAAAGCGCACACGGAAAAAAGCGCAAAGAGAAAAAAGCGCACACGGAAAAAAGCGCAAAGAGAAAAAAGCGCACACAGAAAAAAGCGCAAAGAGAAAAAAGCGCACACAGAAAAAAGCGCAAAGAGAAAAAAGCGCAAACGGAAAAAAGCGCAAAGAGAAAAAAGCGCACACGGAAAAAAGCGCAAACGGAAAAAAGCGCAAACGGAAAAAAGCGCAAACGGAAAAAAGCGCACACAGAAAAAAGCGCAAACGGAAAAAAGCGCAAACAGAAAAAAAGCGCAAACAGAAAAAACACAACGAAAAATGTGCAAAAGAGAAATTTAGCACAAAGACCATATGGACTAGATGACACATTTATACATGACTGTTAGGGCTGCTGTAAGAGTGTCGTGTTTGATCACGTGATCTACTACCATTTAAAGCGTACCACTACCATGTGCATTTCTATCACCATGTTAAAGGCGATAATCGCTTTACACAATGCCTATTATTTTCTTGGTCAATAATTATTCAACTACTATTCTCGTATAAATAAACATAAAACTAGCGACATTACACGAAGTATCTTTCACATTTTCCCTAGTCCGAACTATATATATATATATATATATATATATATATATATATATATATATATATATATATATATATATATATGTCTAGTACAGTTTACGAAACTTACGAACCTCGCCGATACTTTTTTGGTAGGTAGGTGGGTAAGTGGATAGGCGGGTAGGTGGGTAAGTGGTAGGTGGGTAGGTAGGTAGGTAGGTAGGTGGGTAGGTGGGTAGATAGGTAAGTGTGTAGGTGGAAGGGTGGGTAGTAGGTAGGTAGGTGCGTCATGATGTGAAAAAAATATTAAATACATACTTGGTATTGTGGTGAATGTTGTTACGAGAGATATGACGAATGCATGTTTGATGACGCGGATGAAAGAGAGTGAAGTTTTGCCATAGGAACGGGTTGTTATGGTATGCAAGCTAGGTAGTTCGGACTAGGGAAAATGTGAAAGATACTTCGTGTAATGTCGCTAGTTTTATGTTTATTTATACGAGAATAGTAGTTGAATAATTATTGACCAAGAAAATAATAGGCATTGTGTAAAGCGATTATCGCCTTTAACATGGTGATAGAAATGCACATGGTAGTGGTACGCTTTAAATGGTAGTAGATCACGTGATCAAACACGACACTCTTACAGCAGCCCTAACAGTCATGTATAAATGTGTCATCTAGTCCATATGGTCTTTGTGCTAAATTTCTCTTTTGCACATTTTTCGTTGTGTTTTTTCTGGTTGCGAATTTTTCTGTTTGCGCTTTTTTTCTGTTTGCGCTTTTTTCCGTTTGCGCTTTTTTCTGTGTGCGCTTTTTTCCGTTTGCGCTTTTTTCCGTTTGCGCTTTTTTCCGTTTGCGCTTTTTTCCGTGTGCGCTTTTTTCTCTTTGCGCTTTTTTCCGTTTGCGCTTTTTTCTCTTTGCGCTATTTTCCGTTTGCGCTTTTTTCTCTTTGCGCTTTTTTCTGTGTGCGCTTTTTTCTCTTTGCGCTTTTTTCTGTGTGCGCTTTTTTCTCTTTGCGCTTTTTTCTGTGTGCGCTTTTTTCTCTTTGCGCTTTTTTCCGTGTGCGCTTTTTTCTCTTTGCGCTTTTTTCCGTTTGCGCTTTTTTCTCTTTGCGCTTTTTTCTGTTTGCGCTTTTTTCTCTTTGCGCTTTTTTCTGTGTGCGCTTTTTTCTCTTCGCGCTTTTTTCCGTGTGCGCTTTTTTCCGTTGCGCTTTTTGTTTTGCGCTTTTTTCCGTTGCGCTTTTTTCCGTTGCGGTTCTTTCTGGGAACCGAATTTATAAAGTACTAATTATATTCCGCACTATTATACACATTTTGTTTTGCGTTCACTTGGTGTGCAATTATTTCTTTCTACGAGATAATTATATTTTAAAAAGTTAAAGTAATTAAAAATGGATTTAAAATCATGTCTATATCCCGAGTTGCCATCCCTGTTGTTTTATTTAAGAATATTCGAGAAAGTTTAGGGGAGATCACTCCCGGTTTATTTTTAATGGATAAAAACGTTTTAGCAACAAGCTTTTATGTAATAATGCACTTAAAGGGAGAAAAATATGATTTTCTTCAAATATTACACACACTACTATTTAACTAAATATAAGGAAAAGCGCGGGTCACCATATTATCTTTATTAATATTTGGGAAGAAACCCACTCCTTTCTTGGTGGTTATTTAAATAGAAGTGTATTATTTATTAAAGAAAATATTTTTTTAATTCTTTTTAGTGCATTATTACATAAAAACTTGTTTTTAAAACGTTTTTATGCATTGTGCTTGTAAATAGTACGTCTCCGTGCTTTATTTATTAAATTTTAATCAGTTCATAAAATGCTAATTAATAAAATAATTAAGTCAAATTTCATGTTAGATTGCATTGTCGTTGGGTATTGACCCACGTTCCAAGTTTGAAACAATTTTTTCAGTTAAAAGTGCTAAAAATTTCGCTAGGTAGTTTCGATCGATGACGACAGAAAGACAGAAAGACAGACAGACAAACAGACAGACTGAGGAAGGAAGTTAAATAAAAGCTTGTAATAAGCGTAATTTAATTCAGGTGGTAGTTTGTAGCGTGCGCTAATTTGTTTAGGCCAGTCCTTTTACTTTCAGTATACGAAGTATAGAAGAACTTTTGTAATCGTGAATAAAAATCGAAATCGGGTTTTTCACAAATCTCAACGTTTTACACCTCCCTGAGTCGTAAAAATATAGTTTTGCAATTTTGTCCGTATGTCTTTGTGTGTGTATGAGTCTGTATGTGTATATGTGTGTGTATGTCTGTGAACACGATAACTTGAGTACCGCTACAGCTAGGTTGATGAAGTGTCATATATAAGTATTATATCAAATTTGTAGTTTCTGTATCAACTTTTCAGCGATTTCCGGTAACCTGAAGTGGAACTTGTTCTTCTTTTGATTTTTCAAAAGGCCTATAATTTTGAGTACTATTTCAGATAGATAAACGAAATTTTGAGTAGTTTCCGTTGACCGGAAGTAGTACTATACGCTATTTCCGATTTCTCAAAAAAAAAACGTATATGAATTTATAAACTACTAATATTCCGCACTATTATACACATATTGCTTGCCATTTACTTTTTTTCTATGAGAATCTATTCTATTTTATAAATTTTAAGTATTTAAAAATGATTGAAAATCATGTCTATATCCCGAGTTGCCATCCCCCGTAGTGTTACATGAAAATATTCGAGAAAGTTTAGGGGAGATAATTCCCGCTTTATTATGTTCTATCTTTGGAACAGTCTGTGTTATAATATGTTACACCGTTGGATTATAAGTTAGTTAGAAGAAGGTTAAGCAAGTGATACACAATAAATACCAAATTATCAGAAACATTCATTGCACACATCGGGATAAAACATGGGTATTTCGTTGATTGGTTGACTGTATAATGAAACAAGATAGAGGAAACAAAATTACTGGAATCCAACGGACAAAAGCACCAAGTCTTCTTGCACAAAGTCAACAACGCAATGCAGAACCAATTGTACTGGTTGAAGAAGCAGTAATAGCCGGTTTAATAATAGTGGCACCGCCCATGACGGTCTGATTAGAATCTAAACCAATGTGGAATTCAAAAGCATTGTTACAAAATTAATTGTTACAAAATTCAATCAGGATCTAGACTTTCTTTTACTGTATGATTCGAAATTAGATGGTAACAGCAGTGGATAACGAAATAAGAGCAACGAAAAGGTGGCGGATTGGGCGCAATATCAGAAAGCTACTAAAATCTAAATAGCATAACTAAACAGGTGCTTGTGTGAAGTCCACGGGGAAAGAGGAAGAGAAGGAGACAAAAAAAGTCATGAAGGAAATTGTTTGAAATAGAGATGGGGGAGGCTGTATTATCAGGGATCAATCTTCATAAAAATCAAATGAGTTGTCGAAGTGTTGCCTACGATTATGCTCATTAGGATGTCGAAACTAATAAAAGAAGAAAATCAAGAGTTTAGACCAGTGGCTCTTAACCCTGGGTTCGATCGAACCCCAAGAGGTTCGGTGAGTCAGTCTCAGGGCTTCGGCGGAGATCAAGACACACACCCAACTCATATGATTCACGATCAGATTTTGTCAATGTGGACGGTAAAACTATTTGGAAGGGAACGGTGAATGCACATTATGAAACAGGTGGGGTTCCGTATAGAATCTGGTGCCTCGTATCTGAAGTTGTGCTCGTATCTAAAAAAAAATCTCGTATGTCAGGACACTCGTATGTCAAGGTACTAATGTATATAGGCCTACAGCCTCGACATGTTACATCATACAAGCCACGCTCAGTCCCTATTGTCACACCCCTTACAAATAAAACAAATCCAATTTATAAAACGACGCCATGTTATAGTTCCCCCCCCCCCCCTTCATTATTACCTAAATGTAACGTTTTCATTTTTTGTGTCGTTTATAAAAATACAGAATATATTAAACTTCACATCTGATACTCCCGGTCCCCTGTTCCCCCTCCCCTCAGAGCACATAGACGTCACTTATTGCTGACATTGGTAAAAGTATATACTTTCTTAATTCTATTTCGTTAGGTTCGGGAGGGGGGGAGTTATCCTAAACTATTTTATTATTAAATTTTGAAAAACTATGTTAGGTCAAATTCTCTTCTGTTTTTTGATGACTTCTTGTGTGACATATATTGAGGTTATGCACCGGTTGACACCAATACCAGTGACAAAGTTTCTGCATTTGTGTAACATTGGTGAACATTGGTAACTTAAGAAATGCTGAATGGGGCTTTTTTAACTGTTTCAATTGCTAACCGGTTTTCTGTTCTATAATATTATATCTATTTTATGGCTGTATGCTAGGCCTACTAGTTTATGTAATTTTATAACTTTACCTAACGGCTAGTTGATTCCCTATAGGCTTACATGTATTTGGATATTGTGTACTTTTTAATAAAGTTGAGACAACTAGCGGGACCTAAAAAAAGATGGCCGATAAAAGGTAATTATTTTATAATAATCGGTGTTTACGAATATTATTTTTATTAACCGCGGATTATTAAATGGTTTTTATAGTTTAAAAATCAGTAAACATATTTTCTTCAACTTTTCTATCCATTTTTAATTAAAAGCTTTGAGTACGTTAATAGTTAATGTTGGTTAGATGTTTAATATGGGAGGATCCAACAACACAACACAACAATCACAACAGTCACACACAGTTGAGTCAAGAAGACTAGACTCAACAATAGTTTGAGTCAAAATAGCTGATTGAGTGATTTTTTGAACAGTTGAAGTTGAGTACTAGACTAGTTCTAGACTTCTAGATCTTGTGTAGATTTAGATATAGATCTGGATGCAGATGGCAGTACAGCCAATACGCTGTCACCTTAGGGCGGGCGGCTTAAGGCCTAAGGGCGCCTAAGGCTTAGCCAGTTAGGCTTATGTTAGCCAATAGCCAGCGGTAGCCTTTCAATCTATTACTTTAGCCTTTTTACTTTTTAGTAATAAGTACTAATAAGTAGGCCCTAAAGTGTAAAGTTTTTGTTAGGCCTACCTTTTATATAACAACATATTCATATATATAGATATAGGCCTACAATACATTCAATATCATTATTCAATATCATTTGTCATTATCACACATTGAATTTCAATAAATGAACAGACTGGACAGATAACATAAACATTAGGCCTATTTATATTATAATAATATTGTTAGGCCTAATAGCCTATTAACATAAATATTAAATAACATTGAAGAATACTTTGAATTGTACATTGTCATTACCATGATAACACCATTCATTCCCCACTCCAAGCCTGTGAGTATGACATAGTATGTTATACTAGATCTATAAATATACTGATAGGATATAGAATATAGATCTACTAGACTACAGACTACTTAAGTAAAGTAAGTTCCCTTACAAATCTGACACTGACAGTCTATGTCTCAATGGATGGGGCAAGTGAAGTGGCATATGAAGAGATAGTGTGTTCAGCACTATGCCTAAATGCCTTTACTTTCCTTAACGTATGATAAGAATCCATCAGAGCTGGGCGGGTTTGATAAGAATCCATCAGAGCTGGGTGGACTCAGGGACGTTCTACTGACTTTCTTACTCCCCCTTCGAACTTGAGACTTTCGGATAAAGCCTAATGTAAAGCTAACTCTCTTTACTTTTATACATTGGTAATTCTAAACAAGACAAATTACAGCCTTTGGTGATTAATTATAATTGAAATCCCATTCCCTTGCAGATATAATCCTGCTACATCATTTGTAGGAGGAGGATACTCTGCTGGTAAGTTCAATTGTGCTTTCAACCATGAACAGTAGTAGTAGACAACAAGTTATATAATATATAGATTTAAGTTGCTTAGTTGTATTACTCATTTTAAAATTAAAATAGGTTTAATTTTAGTAAAGTTGCAGACTGACGCCTAGGCAATGAATGGCCTATTTATCAACAGAAAATTCGCAAAAATAAAATAATTTCCATTTTTTTTTTAGATCAAAATTTTTCAATTTTCAAAGTTTTATCATTTATTCTTGATAGCTCATCTAAAAATGTGTAAGAATAATATTGATTAATAGCCATAGGTGTTTAATAATCTACACATATTACTGTATTTTAAAATAGAAAATGATTGCTTCAATGATAGCTTTATTTGATAACTTTTTAAATATCTGATTTAAAAATAAAAAGTGAAGCATATTTTAAATTTAAAAATTGTGAAGCCTTTAAAATTAGTGTTAACAAGATTTTAAATATTTTTTTTAAGGCTAGGTAGTTGTCATTTTCTCTTAAAGCCAGTTTGATTTGCCTCTAATTAAAGATACAATAATTGAGCTTAACGTACATTTTTTAATATATATTAAGTTGTTTTAACATTTTTTTAAATCTATAAATCTAGACGTGGAGAAATAAGTGTTAAAAAGCATTGTCTATAAGTTTTCAAGATTTATAATTTATTGATGGAACATAAGTGATTACTGAATAAAAACTTAACATACAAATGACATATTTACACAGGCCCACACATGCAGCCAACACAGGGTGTCCCTGGGATGGTGCCCTACATGCAGGCTGGCATGCCCATAAACAACATGATGCAACAACAAATGATGATGGCACCAGGCTTAAGGTTTCCTATCCAGGTTAGGCTTTTTTTTTGCTATTGGCTTGAAGCTACTTTTTTCATAGTTCCTTAAGAGATAGAAATAAACTTTTAAATAAAGAAATTTCTAACCATAGTTTCATTATAAATATGTCTCTCATAGCAGGGAATGCGAATGGGCCCTCCTAACACTCCGCCACCCCCCTACTCTGCTCACAATACAACAGCTGCCATGCCTACCAGACCAAGGTAATTATTATAATTTATTGATTTTAAACTCTTAACCCAAATGTTATGTAGTCAGTCAAATAATGTAATTTTAAAAAGGCAACAAGACCACAAAATTTAGGAGGAGAAGGGTTTAAATAAACTTTTTTTTAAAATCAAGATGATGGCAAAAAATAAACATCTTGCAACAGATGTTGGACAGTTTTTAATCTGCCATACATTTGATAAATGGTGATAGTAATTACTGTTGGTGATTAATTGTTGTTGGTTTGTGTACTCCCTATGTTAACTTAGTTTGATGGTGAATCTAGAAGATGTTGTATTTGTGTGATACCATAAAATATTCAGTAGCTTTGAATAAAGTATTGTTATTCTCCTTTTTTCACTCTATTTTTTAAATGTCGTATATAGAGCATCATTAAACAAAGCAAAAGAAGGTGGTCAACAGTCAGAGAAGGAAAGGTTTTTTGAGGAGCAGAGAAGGAAGCTTCAACAGTTTGGGAGGCCTGGAAGTGTGAAAGTTGACGAGGGGAAGCTCATCGGATCTATTTTTAGTGCTGACACCAAAATGGCCACCTCTAAAGGAAAAGGTATCTTGATGTTTTTGGGATATTGTGTGTAATTTAATAGACTTGAAAATATGTGAAAGCTATATTTTGTATTGAATTTCTTTAATAATTGGGCCATACTTAGGACACAGCTCTAGGCTCATTCAAAACATGTGAGGGAAATTAAAAATAAAGTTAGAAATTCTTACTTTCTGATATATATGAAAATATATAAAGTCTGTTCAGATCAGGCATCTGAATTTTAAGTTTTTCTCAAACCTAGTATAGGAAAAGTTAAGTACAATTCATACTTCAATTTTTAAAAATGTAACTACACAATTACACCAAAAAGACGCAAAAAAACAATTTTGAATTTTTAAAATCAGGATGTTCTGTTTATAAAAGTAAAAGGTTATAATTTTTGTATAGCAAAAAGCTTAAAGGATAGCAGTGTTTAATTATTCCATTTCACATTGTCTCAGCAGCTGCTACCCAGTCTGCAGATGACGATGATGGATTTGGTGACTTTCTTCAAGGGCCATCACTCCAGCAGTCAGCTGTAAAGAAAGAAGAAAGAAAGGTAACCCATGAATCTGTTGAGGTGATAGCCCCAGGACCAGAGACCAAACCACAAGAAGAAAAGAAAGGTGTGTTCAGAACATTAGGATCTATCTTTCAATGCAAGCAAAAATTGTATTGCTAACACTGTTCTTCATTAAAAAGTGAGAAGTATTTAGATCACTTTTATTGATAATAACCAAGTTTCCAGTATTTGAACTTTTTTTTTTTCAGATTTAGCATCGATTATGTTAGAATATTCAGATCTTAGTGCCCCTAAAAAAGCTAAAGGCTTCCACAAACCCACTCTTAATGAGGTTCAGAAATCTGGCCACATAGATACTCATAGATTGAAAGGGTCCAGTTTTCATGAAAGTGACCACGCCAGGAGCTGGAAGATGCAGGCTGAGGACTTGGAGGGATTGTTTCAGTTGCCAGGTTGGTGTGCACATGCATCTCACTGTGGTTTATCTTTGCCATCATTTACAAATACTGATTTAAAGTAATCCATTAATGGCATCTTAGCTTCTAATTCGCAGTGCTAGCATCAACCTAATTGTTTTTTCTTTCAGCAAAGGCAAAAAAATCGCCGCCTGCGCCATTGCCAACCCATTCCCCGCAGCTGGTTCATGCAGCTGTGCCTGCTGGTGCTGTCATTCCTCCTGGGGAACATGTCATAGCTTTTGGAACAGGTTGGTATCTAGTTCTAGGCTAGAACTTAGAGAACATTTTCCTTAGCTAAACGTCATAGCTTTTGGAACAGGTTGGTAACTAGTTCTAGGCTAGAACTTAGAGAACATTTTCCTTAGCTAAACGTCATAGCTTTTGGAACAGGTTGGTATTTAGTTCTAGGCTAGAACTTAGAGAACATTTTCCTTAGCTACACATCATAGCTTTTGGAACAGGTTGGTATCTAGTTCTAGGCTAGAACTTAGAGAACATATTTTCCATTAAATCTGTTTTCAGTGACTACTTAAAATAACTGTTTGTTTATTTAGCTATACATAAAGAAGATAACACTAACAATATAAACTGCTGTTGGATGGGACTATTTAGTTCAATAACTTACAACCATCAACTAAAAAGTATTCTCTAAAAAATAATTTTAGGGTTGCTTTACTCTTTATTTCTTTCAAATGCCTATTTTTATCTGAGGTTTAATAAAATGAAACCCAGTGCACTAAATGACCCCATTGTTATCTAAAAAAAAATGTTGTTAAGTAGATAAGAACTCACTGTAATTTTGTTGAAGATAAAGTGGCATAGCTATAGTTGTTGTGTAATTCTTTGGTATGTTGTCTGTGTACTAAACTTTTTACTTTCTTGAATCCGCTTTTGGTGTTCTTGTGATTTTTACTTTCTCGTATATACGAAGTATAGAGAAAGTATTGTAATCGTGCAAAAAAATCTCTTGAAATTTTAACAATTTTCACCGTTATTACACCTCAGTCCTTCATCACATCCGAAGTATAGAGGACTTATTTTAATCGGGCAAAAATTATCAATACAGATTTATCAAAATTAAGAGGTTTTATGCATAATCCATTCTGAAAAACTTGGCTTTGCAATTCTGTCCGTATGTCTGTGTGTCTGTCTGTCTGTGTGTAAACACGATTACTTGAGTACCGTTACAGCTAGGTTGATGAAATTTTATATATAAGTATTTTATCAAAATCGTAGATCCGTATCAACTTTTGAGCAATTTCGGATAACCGGAAGTGGTACTTTTTCTACTTTGAATTTTTCAAAAGCCTATAACTTGAGTACTATTTCAGATAGATAAATGAAATTTCACATGTGAGTAAAAGATCTAATTTTCTACCTTCTGTTAAATTTTGAGTAATTTCCGTTGACCGGAAGTAGTAATTTACGCTACTTCCGATTTCTCAAAAAACTAATGTAAATTTTGAAAGTACTAATAATATTGCGCACTGTTATGCACTTTTTTATTTGGCGTTCACTTGGTGTGCAATTCTTTTGTCTGCGATATTTTATTCTATTTTTAAAACTTTAAGTATTTAAAATGGATTAAAAATCATGCCTATAGCCCGATTTCCCATCCCCTGTTGTTTTATATAAGAATATTCGAGAAAGTTTAGGGGAGATCACTCCCAGTTTATTTTTTTCAAGAGTGGTAAATAGCTACATTCTACAAGTGCCTTCTACAAATCTCCCAACAACATTCAATAATAAACTATATTATTTTGTTTTAATTTTTTACACTATTTTTATTTCATGCAGGGTCCACTGTGATGAGCCCTCCACTAGGTCCACCCCCATCTTACTCAGAGGTTGTAAGCCCCACCGCACTGGCTAGTCCAACTAATTTCATGACCACCAATCATGTTAGCCCAGCTTTCAGCCAACCATTCACTGGTAGCCACAGCACCAACCATGTAAGTCCAGCAGTCGGCCAACCCTTCTCTGGTAGCCACATCGCCAACCATGTTGGTCCAGCGGTCAGCCAGCCTTTCACCACTGGCCACACCAACAGGAGCCTGACCCTACCAGAGTGGTGCACCCACAATGAGGAGCAGATGCCCCCAGTGTACAAACATGTCTGGGAGGCTTCTTTAGTGTAAGTACATTACTGCAGCTATAGTCTAGTACATGTCTGCAGCCATAGCCTAGTACATGTCTGTAGCCATAGCCTAGTACATGTCTCTGCAGCCATAGTCTAGTACATGTCTGAAGCCATAGTCTAGTACATGTCTGCAGCCATAGTCTAGTACATGTCTGAAGCCATAGCCTAGTACTGGTGAACCACCAGTTTCTGGCTTATAATGCACCCAGCTTGTGTGTCAGGTGTTTGAAAACAACATGTGATAAATATTTTGTGATAACTTCCTTCTGAACTAGTGCAGTTTAAATATAATAACAAGAGGATATATTTGGTAGAAAAAAACATTGTGTAAGAGCTTACTATAAGTCAATTAAAGTTAGACAATTAGTATTAACTTAATTGTGATCTAATTTTCTGTGCAGTTGGTTATCTATCTTGAATTTGATATCAAATTTCATATTGACAACCAGCTCACTATTAGCCTAATCAGGCCACCTTTACACCAAGTTGTGTGCCTCTTACTTTACAGAGACAACAAAATATCAACAGAACGACTCTACCCCATACTTCTACTTAGTGGCTTACCCAGAGAGAAGCTAGCCCATATTTGGTCATTATGCAACACAGCAACCCCTGGTCAACTGGTCAAGCATGAGCTCTGGTTGATCCTTGCCATGATAGCTTTAACTCAGGTACACAGGAACATCCTAATTTGTCCTTAACTCAGGTACACAGGAACATCCTAATTTGTCCTTAACTCAGGTACACAGGAACATCCTAATTTGTCCTTAACTCAGGTACACAGGAACATCCTAATTTGTCCCCATTGATTTGTGTTGAATTTTTTTCTGGCCAATTGCTGTAGAAGTTTTGTTAATTTTCATTGCCTTAAGAACAATTTCAGTAGTACACGTGTACATAAATTATTAACCTCACATTTTTCTAGTTAACTATAACAATGATTTTGAAAATGCTATAAAAATACAAAGGACTTAAGTTGTCTTTAAAGATAAATTTCCATTCAATAGTAAAGAATATTATCTGTTTTGGCATAAATAGCCTGGAGTATGTTACAGCACTAAATACAATTCACATTGTTTCTCTTTCAGCACCAATACAATACAAACACCATGGACATTTTGGTGGAATGTCCTGTAGCACCAGTGCCTGCTTTAGCTACTGCACAAGGTAACATCAATAATTTTAAGTTAATGGCAAAAATAATATGTGTTAATCTATAGCTACTGTACAAGGTAGCATCAATAATTACAAGTTAATGGCAAAAATAATATGTGTTAATCTATAGCTACTGTACAAGGTAGCATCAATAATTACAAGTTAATGGCAAAAATAATATGTGTTAATCTATAGCTACTGTACAAGGTAGCATCAATAATTACAAGTTAATGGCAAAAATAATATGTGTTAATCTATAGCTACTGTACAAGGTAGCATCAATAATTACAAGTTAATGGCAAAAATAATATGTGTTAATCTATAGCTACTGCACAAGGTAACATCAATAGGGATAAATAGTTTTAAGTTAATGGCAAAAATAATATGTGTTAGTATATGATTAATAACTCGAAGAAACTTGCCTGAATAGCATTTGCCCAACGGCTGTTTACCAGAATAGCCACAGTGCTTGATTTTCCTGAAAGCAACATACCAAATGGCAGATTTCCTGAAGAAAATGTATTTGTTAGTTTTATAACACAAGTGTAACCTTTCAAAGAAAACATTTGTTAGTTTTTTTGTTAAGATTGAGCTTAATTTTTTTTTGATTTGAGAAATCGCTGAATGTTGTTGTTAAGAATCATCTTTTCCTTCACTAAATATTAGAACTAATTCATGACATGTCACAGTTTAAAAACTTGTTATGCTATTTTTTAAGTGTTATTGAATATTATATAAAATCTGAGATGAAAAATTTGTTTTGTCAATAGAAAAACTAAAAAAAAATTGTTAGGTTTAATTTTACATATTTTTACTTTATAAATTATCACAAGCAAACATTAAAAAAATTCTGGCTGTTGTCCCAGTTCCACATGTGGGAGATTGATGAGTTTGGGGAATTGGCCTGTTTATTATTATACTCTCTTACTTGAGGTTTAAAGTTTGCAGAAATAAACGTTTTTTTAATGTGTATGACCACAGACACAGGCCCACCTGCCACCTTGCCTACCACCCCCATGCAGCACCAGGTATACACAGCCCACACACCTGCAGCCACTGTCCCACCTGTGGCAGGTGTAGTCCAGATGTCCCCACCCAACAATGTACACAGGGTGCAGCAGCCCAGGCCCCAGCTGGTCACCCCAGCTGCTAGAGGTCACTCCACCCTGGCACCAGAAGATGATGACTTTACAGACTTCCAGGCAGCCATACCTGCCATGTCCAGTGTTGGCAAAGGTCAGACAACTTTTCTTATTGCCCCATCTACCTGGATATCCTCACTATGCTCCACATCTAAATTAGCGACTTAATTAATGGTTAAATGATACATACACATTCACCAATTAAACTTTCGTCAAGCTTTTTTATTAACAAGTATTTAAAGCCAAGATGTATGACTATTATTCTCTAAGCTTGTGGAATATCTAAAACTAATATGAATGATACTTTACTGTAAGCCAGCTGATTATTTGTACTAAATACATCAAACAAGCCTTATACTAATGAGATACACTGCCATATAAACTTAAATTAGCTTTCCTTTAATAATAATTTAATATAATGTTGTATGGGTCAAACTTGGCTTGTGGTATTATTTTTAGTTCTATTATTTTCTACCCAGGGTCCATATGGTTACATTTTTCTTTTTACCTCAACATTTCTCTTCTGACTACATTGAAACTGTTATCCAAATTTGCATGTTGCCATTTAAAAGATCTGTATTCCTCCGCAAAGCTGGTTGTAATGATGCAGATATGTTGTCAAAAAATGGAAGCTTAATTGTTTTTTTACTATTGGTTTGTGGGTAGGGGGAGGGGTGTAAGATATAGTGTAATAGAAATAGTTATACATTTTATAAAAATATATACATATATGCCTTTTGCCTCCCAAAAGAAAGAATTGAAATAACATTAAACGCACCTCTTGCACTAATATAAGCTGATGTACATTATCTCCAACCACAAACCACTTGATTGATTTTCTTCCCCTCATGTAACATCTTAACTAGACGAGGCTTATGGAGAGTTTATTGGTGGTGGATCTGGTTATGTGGTCTCTGCACCCCTTGCCTCCCTCCCCGCCACAACCCACACCATCACACCCCAGCTTGACCAGCTGCCTCCCGCACAACTGGCGCTAGGCTCGCTGCCTGTAGATGATAAGTACGGCACCAATGTGCGTTCCTTCTTCTGCAGCAGCGACTCCTCCACAGGCAAGTGTTTGTCCCACATTCCTCTAGTGTCACTTGGCATAGGCCCTTGTCTGCTTACAACTAATGCTTCTGTGTTTATATTGTATCAAGTTATTTCAGCTTGAGTAACTAACCACATCAGCTTAATGTCTTCAGCAACTTAAGACATTTTTTAATCATTTTAACAATTAAATATGAATTTAATATATTACAGATATAACATATCTAAAACATGTAATTACAAATTAGCAAGAAATAAAGTAGAAATTTCTTATTTATTTGTGGCTTAAATTTCTAGTAACTAAGCTGAAGGATTAAATTTTTTGTAGTTGTGAAACCAGAGTGGCCAGACTTTTGATATTGTTGGCATAGCTTGTTTTGAACTAATGCTGCTTTGTTTTGTTGTTTACTGCTATGACTGCTTGTGTGCTTTTCTAAAATAGAACAGTAGGTTTTCAAAATATTGTAATCAAACACTGTAGCTAAGCAGTTGTAGTGTGACATTGTTGAAACCAAAGTTAAACTATTGTTTTATCACAAGTGTGAAGCTTGCTAAACTAGATTTACTATAACCAAAGTTAAACTATTGTCTTGACATAATTGTTATGTTAACTAGACAACAATGTCAACATACAGTACAACCAAAGTTAAACTATTATCTTGACATAATTGTTATGTTAGCTAGACAACAATGTCAACATACAGTTCAACCAAAGTTAAACTATTATCTTGACATAATTGTTATGTTAACTAGACAACAATATCAACATACAGTAGAACCAGAGGGAAAATGTTGTGTGGATACATGTGTTAAGTTAGCTAAACTAGATGTAATATCCTAACCAGAGTAAAACTACTTTATCACCCTGGCATGAAAATGTGGGTGGGTACAATTTTGTTGTATGTAGAAAAAACTGGGACAGGTACAATTTTGTTGTATGTAGAAAAAACAGGGGTGGGTACAATTTTGATTTATGTAGAAAAAACATGGGCGGGTACAATTTTGATTTATGTAGAAAAAACTAGTGAAACTGTATTATGTGTGTTGATGCAAGTTTGATATGAGAGCAAAAGAATAATGTAACTGCATTTCTCTCCGCCTTATTCAATTAAAAAAAATTATATTTTTATTGTAGTTTAGCTACATCCCTTCTTGTTGCTAAAAAAGATAATCCTTTGACATGATATGTACAGAACTTAATTGTTTGATGTTGTAAAGAAAAATATTGTATTGCAATGTCATTTGATGGATTTCTAATGGATTGCTGCCCTTATAAGTATCCCTACCCTATTTTTTTTGTCATGAGCTTTTGAAATGTAGATATTTTTTTAGCTTTCATATAAATACTTACTCATTTTTAAATATTTAGATCCTTATCATTTAAGTAAATTATCATTTAAATTTTATTTGTTTTAGAAATGATTTTTTAAAAATTGTAATCTTAAACGATTGGGGTTAAATATGTTTTTTACTTTTCTAACTGTGTCTGTTAGACCGCTAAACTTTTATGTTAATGCTAGAACTGCATGGTACAGCACTGCACTATTTGTGATTGACATTCCATTTAAAACCATGTAGCCAGTTGGAAATACTTTAGGACTGATCTTGTCTTTATACCCACGATAAAATTCACAGGTCACACTTCTCCGAGTTTTGAAGATGACGACTTCACAGACGGGCGCGACAGTCTTAGCCAGGTTTCCACATCAGAGCAGTCAGAGAACGATGACCTGAGGAACTTTGAGTCTTACGTAGAAGAGTTCCAGCAGAAGAAGGAAGTTCCGGATGGCAGCCCACTGCATTGTCCCTTCCCTGCTTTTCAAAAGAACCCGACTGTCAAGGCTACCAAAGGTGTCAAAAGTGTTGGGAAGGCTGGTGGGCTGTCCGCCTTCCATAAACCTCCCTCCAGCCAACTGCCTGCTGGGACTGATAGTACCGTATTTAGTGCAATAAACCATACAGTACCCAAACTACCAGATTTGACAACACCAGCTGTGTCTTCCAAAGTTTCCTCTGCAATCCCCAACAATAACACTGATGATGAATTTGCTGACTTTAAATCTGCCTCCGCTGTGCTGTTCCCAGCAGCCTCGGACCCACCCTCAACAGAAGGGCCCTTGATAGGGGATGAGGATAAGTACGGCGCCCTCAGGGTTCTCACACTCTCACAGCCCTCACTCTTTGAACAACCGGCGCCACCTGATGCCCAATCAAGCACAAACAATGAAGCAGTTGCCATTGATGAAGAAGAAGAGTGGGCAGATTTCTCTGCTGCTGCACCCACCACGGACCACAGCATCGGTTCCGCTGCACCCACCACGGACCACAGCATCGGTTCCGCCTCCCCAACCATTGTGTCTTCTAAAGAGCCTGGGAAAGCTTCGTCCAAGAAAGAGGATATTCTGAAGCTGTTCAGTGTGAGTGCAGCCTCCAAAAGCCCTGTCACTTTCTCGTGCGGGAACTCTGATGTCACCAGTGAGGGCGGAAGTAAAAATGGTATTGTGGCAGCTTCTTAGTGTACAGATACCTGTTGTCATTGTGTTTACAAATCTTGTCCCACTTCTCATGTATCTCCCAATATCTCAGGTCTTAGTAAATACAATAAACTTGATCAATCTGACGGTATTACACATTTTTTAGCTTACTAAAGTACATTTTCAAATGAATTATTTTTTTTTTTAAAAATGTTTACTAGTAAAAGCCTTAATTATTAAAAAAAAAATATTGAAAAAAAATTGAGAAAAATCAATTTTACTACTTTGTATTGGGGTAACTTTTTCTATTTAGATGTGAAAACTTTCTAGAAGTAGCTGGCTACAAATGTCATATCTTACTAAACAAATGTCAGAATACATCATGAATTATTTGAAATATCTACTAAAATGATTTAAATGTATAAATTAGAAGTAAAATAATATTAAATCATAAATACTTTTTAAAATTTCAAATTCAAACATTAATTTACTTTTAACCCTTGGCTTAAATTACTAAGCCAATCTATGTCGTACAAAAATATTAGAAAGTTTTTTAATAAAATATATCATTTCTTTTTACAGTAACCTTCTAACTTACTGTAACACCCCTCCCCACTTTTTTTTGTTGATATTAATAGGTGTTGGCACTAGTAGATGTAGTAGATGTAGCTCCCCCAATTACCTGGTGTTTTACCTGTTTGTGTTTACTAAGAAATTATTCCAGCTCCACATTGATGTTGACTTTATCACCCACCAACCCTCAGGTTCCCTGTTTGGCGACGACATCAGCACGACCTCCACCCCATCCAAATCCCGCGGGCTGGACACCCAGTCCCTCGGGGACCAGCTGTCCTCCAGCAGCTTCTCTGAACAGGAGTCCACCATTGGCTGGGTCCACGAGAGTTCTGGAGTGGACAGCCACTGGGCCAGCTTTGGTGCCAGCGACAGCTACGAGCCCCCTGGGTTTACAGCCAGCCCCAATGACAGTCAGGTGAACAAACTCAGCTCTTCTGGCACTGCGGTCACGGCCGGTATGTTTGACACGACGCTGACATCATCTCTCCCTGGGGTTGTGCCCAACACCAGCAGCAGATGGGATGTCTTGCCACAAAGTCCTTCACTATCAAGCACCTCCTCACATGGGTACACCAACCCCCAGAACATTGACCCACCCGGGGGTTTCAGCAGCCAGACAGGGCAGGAGGATGAGTGGAGTAGCTTCAGTAGCGCCCAGGCTAAAGCTGGCGCCGCAGACGAGGAGGGAGACTTGAGTGGGGAGGCCAAGTTCGTCACCATCAAGAAACAAAATCTGGGCACCAGTGAGATCATGGGGGTCTTCAAGGTTCGGGATGACCCGGCCACACTGTCCAGCTACCAGCTGCCTCCCCAGGCCTCAGTCAACAAAAATATGGCCAGGTCAGTCTGCTCTTATTAAATGCTCAGCTGTCAAACCCCTGCTCTTATTAAATGATCAGCTGTCAAACCCCTGCTCTTATTAAGTTATGTTAGATAATTACCTGTCAACTTGCTCTTATTAATTTATGGGTCTAGGTAAATATTTTGTCAGCCTGCTCTCATTAAATTACATATTTAGGTAAATTTTGTCTTATTAAGCCCACAGCTTATGTACCTATTCTAAAATTCTCTCATTCTTTGTTTGTTCTAAAACCATCTGTCACTTAAAATACTTTCTTGTCATACTAGCCAGCAAACTAACAATGGCTGAGTTTGTACTTATCTGATAGCTGATTTACATAATACCTACAAATTATTCATAGAATGTTACATATATACCCTCCCCCCCCCCTCTTTCCTTAAGCTTGTTTTATGAGCTACAAACTACCTAAGCTACAAACTACCTAAGCTACAAACTACCTAAGCTACAAACTACCTAAGCTACAAACTACCTAAGCTACAAACTACCTAAGCTACAAACTACCTAAGCTACAAACTACCTAAGTTACAAACTACCTAAGTTACAAACTATCTAAGCTACAAACTACCTAAGTTACAAACTACCTAAGCTACAAACTACCTAAGTTACAAACTACCTAAGCTACAAACTATCTAAGCTACAAACCATATAAGCTACAAACTACCTAAGCTACAAACTTCCTAAGCTACAAACTACCTGAGCTACAAACTACCTGAGCTACAAACTACCTGAGCTACAAACTACCTGAGCTACAAACTACCTGAGCTACAAACTACCTCAGCCACAAAACTACCTAAGCTGCTAACAACCTAAGCAACAAACTATCTAAGCTACTAACTACCTAAGTTACAAAATAAATAAGCTACAAACTACCTAAGCTACAAACTACCTAAGTTACAAACTACCTAAGTTACAAACTACCTAAGCTACAAACTACCTAAGTTACAAACTACCTAAGTTACAAACTATCTAAGCTACAAACTACCTAAGTTACAAACTACCTAAGCTACAAACTACCTAAGTTACAAACTACCTAAGCTACAAACTACCTAAGCTACAAACTACCTAAGCTACAAACTACCTAAGCTACAAACTACCTAAGCTACAAACTACCTAAGCTACAAACTACCTAAGCTACAAACTACCTAAGCTACAAACTACCTAAGCTACAAACTACCTAAGCTACAAACTACCTAAGCTACAAACTACCTAAGCTACAAACTACCTAAGCTACAAAACTACCTAAGCTGCTAACAACCTAAGCTACAAACTACCTAAGTTACAAACTACCTAAGCTACAAACTACCTAACCTACAAACTACCTGAGCTACAAACTACCTGAGCTACAAACTACCTGAGCTACAAACTACCTCAGCTACAAAACTACCTAAGCTGCTAACAACCTAAGCAACAAACTATCTAAGCTACTAACTACCTAAGTTACAAACTACCTAAGCTACAAACTACCTAAGCTACAAACTACCTAAGTTACAAACTATCTAAGCTACAAACTACCTAAGTTACAAACTACCTAAGCTACAAACTACCTAAGTTACAAACTACCTAAGCTACAAACTACCTAAGCTACAAACTACCTAAGCTACAAACTACCTGATCTACAAACTACCTAAGCTACAAACTACCTAAGCTACAAACTACCTAAGCTACAAACTACCTAAGCTACAAACTACCTAAGCTACAAAACTACCTAAGCTACAAAACTACCTAAGCTGCTAACAACCTAAGTTACAAACTACCTAAGCTACAAACTACCTAAGCTACAAACTACCTAAGCTACAAACTACCTAAGCTACAAACTACCTAAGCTACAAAACTACCTAAGCTGCTAACAACCTAAGCTACAAACTACCTAAGCTACAAACTATCTAAGCTACAAACCATATAAGCTACAAACTATCTAAGCTACAAACTACCTAAGCTACAAACTACCTAAGCTACAAACTACCTAAGCTACAAACTACCTAAGCTACAAACTACCTAAGCTACAAACTACCTCAGCTACAAACTACCTCAGCTACAAACTACCATCACAACACAACAAATCAGTGTGTGAATATAAAGATGTTTCTGTTACCCTCTCAAGGAACACACACCATCCACCTGGTGCCGGACATGGGTACAGGATGCCATCAGATGACGACATGGGTCCACCTCCACTGGACTTCAGCCATGATGAAGACGAGGATGAGCACACCTTCTCCAGGGGTTATGATTTTGATGATGTCATACACCAAGGTCCACCTGCCACCATCTACAGTCCATTTGGCTTGAGCCACTCTAGTCCACTCTATAGCCATGCTGGTGCCAACAGAAAATGTAGGTTGCTCCATATGTACCACTTCTTTTGTTCATATGGGATCATATGTCACACCATTAATAATAGATATGGACCCACATTGTAATCATTAATGCTAAAAACATGTATTATTCTGTTTTATTAATCTCCAAGTTCAGAATGTTATCTTTCCATTTTTTGTCTGCTAGAATATGTAAGTATCAGGGTACTTGTTAATGTTATGTTTGAATTGTGTAACTCTCCAGTGAAAGAAAACAGGGAAGACAGTGGTTCAGTTCACAGCCTTGACCTGCCATCCAACAAGCAGTCTGACCACTATGGCAGTGACAGTGTCTCATTGTCCAGCACAGATTTGAATGGCAGTGAGATCAATGGTGGGGGCACTGGAGTGGTCAGTGCTGAGTCCAAGTCCCTGGACAGCCTTGACCTCAAGAATGATGCTGCTGACTCAGAGCACAGCTACAGTGCTAAGGATGGTGAGGCTTTGTTGTTTTTACATGGATCAGATATAGAAAATAGAAATAAAGTTTCACTGTGTTTATATGCACCAGTCATAAAATTTGATAGACTCCTGTTATATAATGTTTTACTACAGCTAATTTTCAGAGAGAAAAAATTGCATGGAGGGGGGGTGCTACTGTTATAGATAAAGCCAAGCCACTGACAACAGATTTGCTCATGGGAAAGAACATCTGCTCCCCTACGATCACACACACACACACCCACACACACACAGCACATGCTGTTACCTCTATCTCGCTGGCCTATATTTTCCTGCTGGCTACACATCTGATTTGTTTATGTTGGTACTGTGCTTGTAACATGTGCTTATCTCCACACTAATTAGGTATGTGTCTCACACCTTTACTAATTATAAAAATGATTAAAAAATTCAAAGCTTTCCTTGTGAGGAAGCATGTAATAAAACAAGGTTTGGCTGTTTTTATTTACCCTTAATAAATCCTGTGTTCTTGGGAAATAGTTGATATGACATTAACCTTTTATGTTATGTAATTCAGAGACTAAATACAGTGCTGTAGTTTTATAATAATGCTGATGTTTACACAAAACTTGTGTTAATTAGCTGTCCTGGCCAATCATTGTTGATGTTTATTGCTTAACTCCATGAAGCTCAGATCCTGTCAGTCACATTTTGAAACACTGAACAAAAATCAATATGTGTCAACAATATTGTGAGAAGACAACAGTAACTTTTTTTTAGCTTTGGACTAAGTTGCTGTAGTTAGTTATCAGACCTGTGTTTAACAAGTATGCTAGATCTACCTATTGTTATTGTAGAAACATAATTTTTTGCCAGTGAGCAATTAGCCAACGTGTTTGTACATGTAAGGCAGTGTTAGGTTAGCGTAATGTACTAAATATGTGTTGTGTGAGTTAATTAAATATTTTATTGTTGTGTATTTGATTATTGCACTAAATATTGTGTTATGTAAGTTAATTAAATCTTTTATTGTGTTGTGTGAGGTAATTAAATCTGTGATTGTGCTGTATTGCTAGATGTACAAGCCAGCAGTACTCACCATCCCATCCAGCCCCAAGAACTGCTCTCCTCCATGCCAGACTTTGCTGATAAATACAACATCCAGCATGAAGCTCAGGTTAGTTCTCATTGACTTTCATTGCTCCCTCATACCTGCATAGAAACATCTTAGCTCTTCTCTATTGCATTGATTAGATTTACTGTATTAATGTCTGTAATATAATCTCATGGACTTTAAACCCAAACAACAACAATGTAGACAGTGTAGATTTTTTTTAATTTTGATAACAACTGTCAAAATGTGTATATTTTAATTTAGTGGTGTAATTTGACTTGTGTTGTGATATAAATCATTTTTAGTGTGATGCCATAGAGTTCATGGATTTTATTTCATTTATCTTTAGTAAAAATGTGTTTATTTTTAATTGTAAATAAGTTTTTATCTATAAAGTGTCACCCTGCTTAATTTTTATGCTAGTTGTGTTCACATGTAAATCTTACATGACTCACAGAGTCAAGTAAATCAACACACATTTAAACCTCTTATATAAGCTGGAATTGTAGTATAACAAGTGTTGTAATTTATTTATAAGAAATTAAATGAATAAAATTAATAATTTTTAACTGACCTTTGTCCACAGGGTAGTGACCGCTATGGCCACTACTGGGAGCACTGTCTGAGCAACTGCTGCCGTGTGATAGCTGAGGCCAACACCTTGTTTAACACCATCAGCAGCTCCTCTGTTTGTAATGAGGTCCTCAAGTCCTCACAGGGCTCTGGTTATGTAACAAGTAAGTTCCAGCTCCTCTGTCTGTAATGAGGTCCTCAAGTCCTCACAGGGCTCTGGTTATGTAACAAGTAAGTTCCAGCTCCTCTGTTTGTAATGAGGTCCTCAAGTCCTCACAGGGCTCCGGTTATGTAACAAGTAAGTTCCAGCTCCTCTGTCTGTAATGAGGTCCTCACAGGGCTCTGGTTATGTAACAAGTAAGTTCCAGCTCCTCTGTCTGTAATGAGGTTCTCACAGGGCTCTGGTTATGTAACAAGTAAGTTCCAGCTCCTCTGTCTGTAATGAGGTTCTCACAGGGCTCTGGTTATGTAACAAGTAAGTTCCAGCTCCTCTGTCTGTAATGAGGTCCTCACAGGGCTCTGGTTATGTAACAAGTAAGTTCCAGCTCCTCTGTCTGTAATGAGGTTCTCACAGGGCTCTGGTTATGTAACAAGTAAGTTCCAGCTCCTCTGTCTGTAATGAGGTCCTCAAGTTCTCACAGGGCTCTGGTTATGTAACAAGTAAGTTCCAACTGCTCTGTCTGTAATGAGGTCCTCACAGGGCTCTGGTTATGTAACAAGTAAGTTCCAGCTCCTCTGTCTGTAATGAGGTCCTCAAGTCCTCACAGGGCTCTGGTTATGTAACAAGTAAGTTCCAGCTCCTCTGTCTGTAATGAGGTCCTCAAGTCCTCACAGGGCTCTGGTTATGTAACAAGTAAGTTCCAGCTCTTCTGTCTGTAATGAGGTCCTCACAGGGCTCTGGTTATGTAACAAGTAATTTCCAGCTCCTCTGTCTGTAATGAGGTCCTCAAGTCCTCACAGGGCTCTGGTTATGTAACAAGTAAGTTCCAGCTCCTCTGTCTGTAATGAGGTCCTCACAGGGCTCCGGTTATGTAACAAGTAAGTTTTAGCTCCTCTGTCTGTAATGAGGTCCTCAAGTCCTCACAGGGCTCTGGTTATGTAACAAGTAAGTTCCAGCTCCTCTGTCTGTAATGAGGTCCTCAAGTCCTCACAGGGCTCCGGTTATGTAACAAGTAAGTTCCAGCTCCTCTGTCTGTAATGAGGTCCTCAAGTTCTCACAGGGCTCTGGTTATGTAACAAGTAAGTTCCAGCTCCTCTGTCTGTAATGAGGTCCTCACAGGGCTCTGGTTATGTAACAAGTAAGTTCCAGCTCCTCTGTCTGTAATGAGGTCCTCAAGTCCTCACAGGGCTCTGGTTATGTAACAAGTAAGTTCCAGCTCCTCTGTCTGTAATGAGGTCCTCACAGGGCTCTGGTTATGTAACAAGTAAGTTCCAGCTGCTCTGTCTGTAATGAGGTCCTCAAGTCCTCACAGGGCTCTGGTTATGTAACAAGTAAGTTCCAGCTCCTCTGTCTGTAATGAGGTCCTCACAGGGCTCTGGTTATGTAACAAGTAAGTTCCAGCTCCTCTGTCTGTAATGAGGTCCTCACAGGGCTCTGGTTATGTAACAAGTAATTTCCAGCTCCTCTGTCTGTAATGAGGTCCTCAAGTCCTCACAGGGCTCTGGTTATGTAACAAGTAAGTTCCAGCTCCTCTGTCTGTAATGAGGTTCTCACATGGCTCTGGTTATGTAACAAGTAAGTTTTAGCTCCTCTGTCTGTAATGAGGTCCTCACAGGGCTCCGGTTATGTAACAAGTAAGACCAGGCTACTCTGCTTATACTTTGGCTACAGCTTTCCTTTAGTTGACCACACAGCTCTACAATTTTATATTGCTCATTTAAGTTGCTTGTTTAAGGTTAGCTTGTAACTATTTACTTGTTTTGTTAGACTAGACATGTTTATAAAAATAATTTCTTTTATTTGAAGGTGTGGTGGAAATATACCGAGTAGTTTGCAGAATAATGACTTCTATGAGGTCCACCGGTAAGTTGTGTTTTCAACCAATTACTCTGTTTGTGTAACAATCATTTCACCTGATGAGCTTCAGAGTTTTTGGTTTGTCCTGTAGAATCCACTTGATTTAAACACTCAACAAAAACATCAACTGTGGATGTACTTTGAATGAACTTCTATTTTTAATTATGAGACAGCTTGGCCTAGCTGCTTACCCAAAAGTCTTGAGATCTGATCCCTGAGTCCACCCAGCTCTAATGGGTACCTGACCTACATTAGAGAAAGTAAAGTTGGCTAGGTATAGTGCTTACCATTCTACCTATTCAAATACTGAGGCCCTCCAGGTTCTAAAGGCTCACTTTACTTTACAATTTTCAACCATCAATGTGGTCCTACAATTGTTTTATTTTGTTGTCAGCCATATCAACATCAGAACTAGAGCAAACTGTCAAGGACATTGACCTTGCCTGGAACAACCTGACAGCATTCCTTGTTGGAGCTTCTCTCTTGGTAAGTTCCCAGTCTGTGTATCTTTGTTGCTGGAGCTTCTCTCTTGGTAAGTTCCCAGTCTGTGTATCTTTGTTGTTGGAGCTTCTCTCTTGGTAAGTTCCCAGTCTGTGTATCTTTGTTGTTGGAGCTTCTCTCTTGTTCCCAGTCTGTGTATCTTTGTTGTTGGAGCTTCTCTCTTGTTCCCAGTCTGTGTATCTTTGTTGTTGGAGCTTCTCTCTTGGTAAGTTCCCAGTCTGTGTATCTTTGTTGTTGGAGCTTCTCTCTTGGTAAGTTCCCAGTCTGTGTATCTTTGTTGTTGGAGCTTCTCTCTTGGTAAGTTCCCAGTCTGTGTATCTTTGTTGTTGGAGCTTCTCTCTTGGTAAATTCCCAGTCAGAGTATCTTTGTTGTTGGAGCTTCTCTCTTGTTCCCAGTCTGTGTATCTTTGTTGTTGGAGCTTCTCTCTTGGTAAGTTCCCAGTCTGTGTATCTTTGTTGTTGGAGCTTCTCTCTTGTTCCCAGTCTGTGTATCTTTGTTGTTGGAGCTTCTCTCTTGGTAAGTTCCCAGTCTGTGTATCTTTGTTGTTGGAGCTTCTCTCTTGGTAAATTCCCAGTCAGAGTATCTTTGTTGTTGGAGCTTCTCTCTTGTTCCCAGTCTGTGTATCTTTGTTGTTGGAGCTTCTCTCTTGTTCCCAGTCTGTGTATCTTTGTTGTTGGAGCTTCTCTCTTGTTCCCAGTCTGTGTATCTTTGTTGTTGGAGCTTCTCTCTTGGTAAGTTCCCAGTCTGTGTATCTTTGTTGTTGGAGCTTCTCTCTTGGTAAGTTCCCAGTCTGTGTATCTTTGTTGTTGGAGCTTCTCTCTTGGTAAGTTCCCAGTCTGTACATCTTTGTTGATGAGTCCTGTATCAAACCCAGATCCCATTATTTTGTTGACTAGTACATCATCCACATTAAATCAACAGTTAAACCTATTTAAACGAGAAAAATGGCCCGTTGAGGAAGGATACAACGGGCGCTAGGTTGATAGTGTTGTATGAATGAAACTCTTCACGCCAACCACTTAGATTAGACAAAATTGCTTTTTTATTCAATGTTTACTCGAGAATCAATGACGTCATATTACTGTGTGCACTCTCCGGCTTGATACTATTTTCTACTATATGCTAAATGTGACATCATATTTCGTTTCCGTTTTACTATGCATGTTTTTAATTTGCTTGTGTTTTCTCTAGAGCATTCTTGTCAGATACATAGATAGATACATAGACAGACAGCGAAACTATTATTATAGATACCATAGTCATGGTGTTCAACCTGTATAGTAGGCTTATGATGTTATACTTGGCCTGTTGTCCCTATATTAACCCTACACTTGCCAAAGATCCACTTTGCTTGTTGTCCTTACATAAACCCTACACTTACCTAAAGTCCACTTGGCTTAAGAACGTTCCTCTGTTTCAGCCGGAGCAGTCGACCCTTGTGTTCAGCAACTGTGTCCTCAAGTCAGACTCTGACCACGCCAAACAACTGGCCTGTGGTGTCTGCCTGCTCAACGTGGACACCAACCCTTTCAACTCCGGCGCTGGCATCAACAGCTGCAAGCTGACCTACGCAGGCCGCCAGTACCACGCCACCTGTGCCAACTTCTGGGTCAACTGTGTGGACCAGACCTTGCCCTCATTAACTCTACCTGAACTGTTATAGTAGTTATTTATAGATCATTGTCTAATGTTTGAAAATCTATCTGTGAAAGTGATAAAGGATAGATGTTGTCCTCATATCTCTAGTTAGTTTACCAATGAAAAAATCCACTCGCTATCACCTAAGATGTTACAAAGTAAATTCTATTTTCAACATGGCGTACCAAGTTGTATTTATTGTGATATTGTTAATAATCCTGGACTCCAAAACTTGATGCATACATTTTTTTCCTGGTCATTTTGGATCCACACATTCCATTGTTGAAGGCTCTGGTTCACCCACATCAGCTCTGTACTTTTGTCTGCTTTCTTTAAATAGCAGCAGGATTTGGTTTCAACAAAGCTCAAGCTATTCACACACAATTTTTATTGTGTTGCTATCCTCAAACTTTTTTATTGTATATTTTGTTTATTTTTTTTTTCATGCATATTTGATTTTAAAATGTTATGATACTTGTAACTAAAATATTTTAAAACATTTTTAAGAACAGTGTGGGAACAACATTAGATATCTCTGTAGTGTCATATAGACTGGTACAGCTACACAAGTACCTGGGTAGTTGACTTATGGCATCAGGGAATCTGGCTTGGCTTAAATAATTGGGATAATTAATTTTAATGCACAATAATAATTGATTTCAGTTTGTTGTACCATACGTTGCACCCTAGGAAACTATTGATATTCCAAAAATATCCACATATTCACCAGTATTAAAACTTTGACTTTCTTGTCAGTGAATTAAGTCACAATGTTATATCTTGTTAGTTAAATTATACTAAATGGTCTAACCAATCAAACTGTTACAAAAACAGATGTATTTGAATTCAACTGTCACTGGTTATAGTTGGTGTAGATATCAAATATTGTAAAGCCTGCGTATGTATGTATATATATATATATATATATATACTGTTAGCCTGGTGTTCACAACACCTGTATCAGTTTGGTTACTGCAGGTAACTTACCTGTAGAGTTCAAATCTGGTTGGAATGTCATGTTTCCATCAAATAGTTCTTATTGTTTGGGGAGGAAGATTATGACAGATATTTTGAATTTGTTGTAAACTAACTGTGCAGTAAAATTTTGTTTTGTTTTTTCCTGTGGCTTTGTTTTACATTAGTTCAAAAAATAGTTTTGTCATGTTTAATTTTATTTGTTAATGTCTACATTATGTTAGAATGTATAAATAGCTGAAACAGTTGGTTTTTTACCTTTATGTCAACATGTTAGAATTTTTAACTAGTTGAAAGAGTTGAGATGTAACAAATATAACAAGGTTTCTCTGGAATCAACATGCCAGACATTGCTTGACATATTTCTCCTTAGAAAAATAATTTGCACTGAAAATGTCATAACTTTGTCTTGGTTCTTTCAAAATAACTATTTAATTGTGATTATCCATCATTTATTTTGTTAATGTTGCTTGTTATTTATATGATCATTTCTGAGTTGCAATGTTTTTCAAGTTGTGATACATATATATTTCTTTGACTGTCCATTATTTCTTGTTGCTTTGTTGTTTGGCTTTATTTTATTGTTGGCTAGTGTCTGTGAAATATTCTACCTAGATATGCTATACATTCCTTTCCAAAGCTGGTTTTGTTGTGGCAATATTTGTGACAAGTTACTTCCCCTTAAAGAGTTGATGTTCTTTGATCAAACATTATTGTAATAGCTAGCTGTGACAACTTCCATTGCTTACAAGTGCTTTACTAACATGGATAGGCCAATTGTATTGGATTTTGTTTTGATATGTAAAGAAATGATTCTAAGGAATTATCTGCAAATAGCTAGTCATGACAATTTTTTGTGGCTTACAATACAAGTGCATTACTATTGATAGGTCAGTTGTATTAAATTTTTCTTAGGGGGAAAGTATAAAGAAATTAATTTAGGATTGCTGGTTTTGTACTATAGGGAACTTAGTTTTACATTGTTAATTAATGTATCTACCTTATGTTTTTGAATAATGAAATGTATATGTGTAGTTCACCCTAAAATTCTTGAAACGCTGTTGACCTTGGTATTAAATAGTCTGGAAACATAATGGACAATAGAGGGTTAAGTGTAAACATCATAGGTGGGTTTTTTTGTTTTTAAAGTTTATCACATGTTACAGCTTGTCTAGTGTTTACATGGTTTCACTGGTTGTCTAGTGTTTACATGGTTTCACTGGTTGTCTAGTGTTTACATGGTTTCACTGGTTGTCTAGTGTTTACATGGCTTTACTGGCTGTGGCTGTCTAGTACTGACCTTGTTTATGACCTTATGCAAGCGCATTAGCTGGTGTTAGCTGTTGACCTACTAAATCACAGCCAGCCACACAGATCATTGCTGGGCGTGTTGTGGTTTCAACTGCGCCTGTGTCTGATTGATGTCTCCCCTGTACCTACCACCCCACCCCCTACACATTGCCCCTCCTGGCCTTGTGTTATTGCCACTGATCAAAGACGGACATGTTTGTACACACTCTCACAGACATTTTGTACACACTCTCACAGACATTTTGTACACACTCTCACAGACATTTTGTACACACTCTCACAGACATGTTTGTACACACTCTCACAGACATTTTGTACACACTCTCACAGACATGTTTGTACACACTCTCACTAACATTTTGTACACACTCTCACAGACATTTTGTACACACTCTCACAGACATTTTGTACACACTCTCACAGACATGTTTGTACACACTCTCACAGACATTTTGTACACACTCTCACAGACATGTTTGTACACACTCTCACTAACATTTTGTACACACTCTCACAAACATTGTGTACACACTCTTACATCAGTTTCTTACGCAGCCGGTGATTTCTTCTTGCAACATTCAACTAGCAGATCAACTTAAAGTTCTAGTCAGTCAAGAACAATAAACTCCTGTGTGTCACTTGTTCATTCTTTAGATCAAATTACTTTATAAAACAAACAGAAATAAACACATGTATCATAAATAATAATTATACACACATGCATACATTTATTTATTTAAGAGGGTGTAATAAACAAAGGGAATACTATTTTTTGTCAAGATGTTTTTGTTAGCCTATAACCTATTAATGATGATGTCAGTAAGAAAAACAACAATTTGACACAAATATTGTGTTGTGAAGTTAATTATTTTAAAGCATTTAGTAGACTTTGAAAATGAAATGATTTCAATAAATGTATATGACAAAGATCAAAGTTTGGCATGTTTATCCTGTGTAGTGAACCAGCTGCTGTTTCTGAAAAGCAAATGTTGGGTAAATGATGTGTATGAACCATTATTTTTTTTTTTAAAGTTAAATTTAGACTAAGGTTATTCTATTCTCGCAGTTTTTGGTCCTTTGTAAAAATTCATAGGATTTCTATGGCAGTTGCCAAGTTTTAATTAATTAGTAAGAAAATATCAGTGACTTGAGAACAAAACATTTGGCCTCCCACGTTGAAAAAAACCTGGCATGTCTGCACGTAACTTGCCAAATAACAAGTAAATTATTAACAGGCCTGAGTTACAACCATTACACGATAGGGCAAACAGGCACGTACGCCGTGCAGGCAAGTAGTTCAGACAAATTGCGCTTCAGGAGTTTAAAAACTGCAGGGCTTTTTTTCAAAGAATAATTGACAATTTTTTAACTGCCTTAATTGCATAGCCTATTTTACATGAAATAAAGTGCTTACAACGTCTACAGCTCTAGCTTTCCTACATGTAAACATCTTAAACCTTTATAGATATTTTTTTTTGAGAACAGCCTTTGTTAAGTAAGAGTAGTGCGATATGGTCCTAACTACGTAGTTGGTACTTGTCTCATACCTGATGATGAGGCTACCAATCTCTGATAGAGTTATCTGACTTGAGTTTGGGCAAAACAAAGGTGTTTGATAACCAGATGAACTCTACTTCATCTTCGTACTGAACCTTGTTTTGGAACTGGATTATAAATTCAACAAAAATTGCATTTATATGAAAAAAAAACAGAAATAGCAAATACCACACATGTTGAAACTCCCACTTTTTATTTAGTGACCTGGGTTTGTAAGAAGATGTGTGTTGACTTTGTCTACTTTGATCCTTAAGGCAAGCGGCCGCACCTGTTTGGTCAAATACGTGTGTTTTTTATCCTTGTTTACTTTCAACGCGGTACTGCTGAAGTCTATTCATTGTTGACCAATCTTATTATGGTCCATGTTGACATGGTGTCACGTGTCTAAAAGGCTGGTGTGTGAACACACCTGGCTGACAGCCCTGAAACAAAATGGTGGTCGACCTGTGACATGCGCAATGAAAGGAAATCAAACAGTTTCAACCTTCACATTTTATGTTAATTAGCTGCACACAGGGTTAGGCGAAGGATTTAGTTTTAGTACGATTAAAAAGGTCCTGTACAAGCAGAGGCGTAGCGAGGGGGGGGGCGGGGGGTGCGGACCGCACCGGGTGACACCATTTAGGGGGGGTGACACCAAGGCTAAAGATCGCAAAATATAGGGAGAAAAATTTGAGGGGGGGGGTGCAAATCGAAAGTTTGAGGGGGGCAAATCGAAAATTGAGAGTTTGCCCCCGGGAAGGGTCGCTACGCCTCTGGGAGGTGACACCATTAAGTGCCGCACCGGGTGACACTCGACCTCGCTACGCCACTGTATACAAGTGAAACCTTACTAGGGAAAAATATTTTTGCAATCAGCAACATTGGTTTACTAAAGTTTACTTGTTGTAAGTAGATTAGTAGGACCAGCAGTATGCCTGTCGCTCCACAATATATTTCTCTGCGCCATTCTTTCTTCTGTCATCCCATGAAATTGTGTTACGTTTTGTGGGTGTCCTCGCCTATTGGTCGAACCCAGCCCTTCTCACACTCCATTGCTTTCAAATGTCCTGCTCCAGCTTTTTTTTTTAAACGCCCAGAGGTAGAGTTTTAAACATCGTTTGCAGACAGAATGAGGATGTCATGTTAATTCTAAATACTGATAATTTCTCACAATTTTTTGCAACAGGTATCTTATGTTACTCGACTGAATAATTCAAATATTGCCAAAGTACACATTTTTGTGATTGATCTAGTTAAGATGATCATATAATTGTTCGATTAGATAAAACACAACGTACATTACACAATATTTAAGATTTTGGTCTATTGCTATTAATATTTGTGAAGGCCGAGCATATTTGTTTTATTAACAGCGTCTACGTTCTGTTGTCTGCCCATCTCTATCACTTAGGTTTAATATAACCCTTGTCAGTCGAAATAAAGGAATCCCTTTAGATGTGCTTTAGATCACAGCACGGATCGCCATTTTGAATGTGGATCTGTACACCGCGATGGCGGATGTTTACATACTGAAGATCCGTGACGTCATATGCAAGGGCTCTATACCCAATCAGTTACGTGAGTTGTATTCACGGACGTTTGCATGAATTTTAAATTTTATACCTGAGAACCATGCACAGCCTCAGATAAGGGGCAGAGAATTGTCATTCAGAGCTACTGGTTGGACAATGAAGCAAAGTATTTTTTCACTGTTTCGTAAAAGCATTGGACGTTCATTAAACCTCTTCACATTTTAACAACCAATGCTTTTTACTAAACATTTCGTTTGGTTTTATTTATAATTTGTAGTGCATTTAAAAGCTATTTAGTTTAGGAAAAGAGAATGGAGTTGGATAGGACATACACTGTGCAGACATCAACAGGCAGACATTGAGATAGAACCCTTAATGAAAGCGTAAAACTTAATATCTGAATAAGAAAACTAGAATCTTTAAGACAAAACAAAGACATACACGTAATGAAAAATTCCCCCATGTAGTTTTCTAATTACATGGGAGAGAAGTCATTTTTTTTAAAAACTATACGTAGAAAAATTGATAATCCTAACATATGCATTTTTTTTTTAAATTTAACTCTAGTATAATTTACATAAATTTAAACCTAATTAAAAGACGTAAGTACATTTATCAATATTAAAATTTAAATTAATTTCCAAACTTTTACTCAAAAATGAGACATGTTATTTTTTTCTTCAAGATTGGAAGTTATAGTATGATAAAAGGTAATATGTTGGCCTATTTCAAATTTTCAAGTTTCAAATATTGTAATTTTGGATCCCTAGCAAACGGGACATTAAATACTAATTAGTAAGATCTCTTCACTTTTCATTTACACAACTGTAACACAATGTACATCTTTACAACACAATGTATACCTCTGGATCTAGTCGGATGAAGAGTACCGACATCTTGGTTTCAGGTGCCAGCCAAATACCATCTGACGTGAGACACACTACTTTAACCATATCCGGCCTCAATGTCCTGCAGTCAAACGTTAAAACATGCTTTGATGGTATTCGTGCATAAAGGCTTTTCATCCAATGTGGAACATACATACACCATTTAGACTCGCCACCACTTACATATAACAGTCTCACATATAAATCTCACCACCACTTATATATAGGTCTCACCAAATTTATGTATAACATTTTCACTAATACATATAACTCTCACCAATACTTACATATAAATCTCACTAATACATTTACCCCTTACCCACACTTACATATAAATCTCACGAATACGTTTAACCCTTACTCACACTTACATATAAATCTCACGAATAAATTTTAGTCCTTACCCACACTTACATATAAATCTCAACAATACATTTAGCCCTTACCCACACTTACATATAAATCTCACGAATACATTTTTAGCCCTTACCCACACTTACATATAAATCTCACTAATACATTTTAACCCTTACCCATACTTACATATAAATCTCACTAATACATTTAGCCCTTACCCACACTTACATATAAATCTCACTAATACATTTTAACCCTTACCCATACTTACATATAAATCTCACTAATACATTTTAACCATTACCCACACTTACATATAAATCTCACAAATACATTTTAACCATTACCCACACTTACATATAAATCTCAACAATACATTTAGCCCTTACCCACACTTACATATAAATCTCACGAATACATTTTAGCCCTTACCCACACTTACATATAAATCTCAACAATACATTTAGCCCTTACCCACACTTACATATAAATCTCACGAATACATTTTAACCATTACCCACACTTACATATACATCTCACGAATACATTTTAACCATTACCCACACTTACATATAAATCTCAACAATACATTTAGCCCTTACCCACACTTACATATAAATCTCACGAATACATTTAGCCCTTACCCACACTTACATATAAATCTCACGAATACATTTAGCCCTTACCTACACTTACATATAAATCTCACGAATACATTTAGCCCTTACCCACACTTACAAGCTCCATTAACATTATCATAGCCCCATGGGCCGGTGTGGTCGAGTCTGTAAAGCTCATGGTTGCTAAACCGATAAGTCTCGAGTTCGAACCATCGGGCAGATGAGGCTCCCTAGCTGGGGACAGCCACTCTTCTAGGAGAGACAACTCCAAAATCAAACATACTGCTGCCTTGTTCTTTGTTCGACAGAGGCTATGGAAGCAAATCTAGAAGAAAAAAAAAGGAAGCTGAAATCGGAGTATAACAAGTTGACACGTAATACTTGATTTTTTTTTAAAAATACCGTAGCCTCTACCAGACAGAATGACCGTTACATGCCCAGCTGTGATATCCTTAGTCAGGCCCTAAATAGGTGCTCTCATCTGCTATTGAGATTACAGACAAAGGCAGTGCTTGAAAGTACGACGTCCTTACCACACATGAGTTATTTAATAAGGGGTTCTCAATTTTTCATACCTACCATCACTTGATCTGCAGCACACACACACATGTCATATATATATATATATATATATATATATATATATATATATATATATATATATATATATATATATATATACAGATCTATACACCTCTTGTCGATAAATTCCATTGTAATATTTTAAACCTGCACCCCACCAGAGGCGTAGCGAGGGGGGGGGGGGCGGGGTTGTGGACCGCACCGAGTGACACCATTTAGGGGGGGGGGACACCAAGGCAAAAAATAGCAAAATATATAGAGAAAAACTTGAGGGGGTTGCAAATCGAAAATTTGAGGGGGGGGGGGTGCAAATCGAAAATTTGAAAGTTTGTCCCCGGGAAGGGTCGCTACGCCTCTGGGGGTGACACCATTAAGTGCCGCACCGGGTGACACCCGACCTCGCTACGCCTTTGCACCCACCCCCACAAAATAAAGGAGTGTGCCCGCCACTGATCGCTAATCACCTTTCCGTCTGTTAAAGAGTGCTAGAAAAAGTCCCATGAAATGAACGGACAGTGTGTGGGTTTGATACCTTTTTTGCGCTGGCCGTTGTCGCTGAATGCGTCCAAATATTTGAATAGGCCCATTGATTCATATCAAACTCGTCGATAATGCTAATATCTTTTCAGTGTTGGAGCGGAGAGAGGAAAGGTCAGGGGTCACCCAGCGAGACAGTAAGATTGTGAGGATAGAAGTTTTTAACATGGGTTTTAAATTGTATGGAGAGAGAAACGTTGGGGATTTTATTTCGTCAATCGACGGGTCTCATAATCTTAAGGATTCCTAACTAATTGTCCCGTACTTTGGTAGGGCTATCTAGATCATGTACTACATTTTTTTTTAATTCCCCCTATAAAGATTATTGTAACGATTATTTGGAAAAGTTTTCTTTACCAAAAGTTTATTTGGTGGTTTGGTAAGCATCTTTATGATTTTATACAATACATAGACATTAGTTTTACAACTATGCCTTATGGGGTTATATATCGTATATGGATTGTGTAAGTTAAATGTAGTAGGCTAAATATAACTAAGGCTAAACTATTCATTTTTATCTATTAGCACAAACATTATGCAGTATGGTAAAAACCCTACGTATTCTTTCAAATAACCAGTCTTTTCAGCCAGCATAATATCATCCTTCCCCCCCCCTCCCCCATCCCACACAGCCTTAAAACCACCAGCTACTCATATGTAGGTTTATTCCAAATCTCCCAATAATAGTATTTTATAAGGTCTATGTAGATCTACGTCCGATTGATACACCTTAAAAAAGAGCTCCCCCATCACAGTTCTAGAACCTTCATTACGGCGCAATGTTTAGCCGCCGGCGAGAATCGCGTCGACCCAACATGCGGGCAGACGACCAACAGCATTGAGCGCCACATTTAGCACGGAGAAAGGCGCGAAGTAACAGCTGAGCGAACTGCTGGAGTGGCCTCTTCAGACATGCCTTTGATTTAGTACGAGCAGACGATGACAGCACTTGATGGGAGTGACCTAATGACCTAAGGAGTACTGTCGTAAACAAAACAGTAAGTTAAAATTGTTTTTTAATTTCTCAAAGCAAAACAAATATTTTTTAATTCATTTTTTCAAAACGTTTTTGTAGAGTATTCCTTAAAAATGGTAGATTCTAGATCTTTATGTTAATTGATATTTAGCCACTTCAGTAAAGATACATTATTTCCAAGAGAGATAAATCGTTGAACAAAGCAACACGTATTTTTTTTACTGCTTACAATTAATGATTGTATCACGGTGCATTAAAAAACAATATTCTTTTAAACCCCCTAAGACAATCAAGTAGGGTATTAAAGGTTTTCTTTTTCTGCAGCTGTTTCGGTTAGGATTAGGTTAACGGTAGGGGTTAGGTTAGGGTCATAATGTCTAAGCCAGACCCAACAAGACCTGGCTGTTTAATGAGCGCCAAAATTAGGTATCCAACAGTTTTCCGCGCTTGATTGATCACAAAAAGAAAACAATCAAACATCTGCGCATGTCTTCTTGACTCTGTCGTATTTAACGGGAATATTTGCTTCACATTTCTGCGACCTAGATGCTTAATAAACCTTCAAGCTTTACGTTGAGTAATTTATTTTGTTTTATGCGTTTTAAACATAGATCTAGAACACAAAATGTAAACAATTTTTTTTTCTTTTTGCAACAACAACCTTCGTGTGTACCATCGTGGACTTGTGGGAAACACAGACCACACAGCAAGAATAAATGTCTGCCCTCACAAAGCATAGTTCAGTGGTCTTTCGTTGAGCATTGCCGAAGAATAGCTTGAGTAGTATCCAATCTCGACTGGGCATAATGCGTACCACACTATCTTTTCATATGCCGAGGTCACAGAAACAAGTGAACTCTACTTCACTTGCCCTATAGACAGTCAGGTTTGAAAAGGGAACTTTTAGTATCCAATCTATCATAAATAGCTTGAGTTGTATCCAAACTATCATACATAGCTTGCTTAGTATCAAAACTATCATCAATAGGTTGAGTAGTATCCAGTCTATCATAAATAGCTTGAGTTGTATCCAAACTATCATACATAGCTTGAGTAGTATCCAAACTATCATACATAGCTTGAGTAGTATCCAATCTATCATAAATAGCTTGAGTTTCCAAACTATCAAACATAGCTAGAGTATCCAATCTATCATAAATAGGTTGAGTAGTATCCAAACTATCATAAATAGCTTGAGTAGTATCCAATCTATTATAAATAGCTTGAGTATCCAATCTATCATAAATAGCTTGAGCAGTATCAGATCTATCACAAACTGGATGAAACAGATCTATGGTGTAATCATAGTTTGGGGCCGAATGATTTATTAGCCAGCAGTGACGTCAGGATGTGGTGACGTCAAGATGCGGTGTGGATAAATGTTGTGAAGTCTAGATGTGTTGACGTCTGTAAGCTTGATATCATGTTTTCGTAATGTCGAGTTCTAGTGACATCATGTTGAAAACACATCGAACTAGATGTTTCAGCCAGGCATCTAAACTTTTATTAGTTTCCGTCCCTCCCCCGAACCCCCCCCCCCCCTCCCCCCACCCCAATTTTAGTCCGCCCCGCCTCACCAAAAAAATTTACTAAACCTACGCCATACTTTATTAGGGACAAAAAACCGCAGCTCATTTAAATGTTCAATTTTTTCATTGTGTAACGGAATTAAAGTTTCCCTTTCAAACCTGACGGTCTATGGGGCAAGTGAAGTAGAGTTCACTTGTTTCTGTGACCTCGGCATATGAAGAGATAGTGTGGTCAGCACTATGCCCAGCCGCCTTTACTTTCCCTAACGTGAGTTAGGTACCCATCAGAGTTGGGTGGACTCAGGGACGGTCTACTGACTTGAACTCGGATTCGAACTCGAGACTTACGGTTAAGCAGTCCAGCTCTCTAGCGCTAGACCACTCCGTCCTTGTGTAACGGAATTAGTTCTTGTATTATATTCAAATTCTCTAAGAAAAATGACCCGAGATTTCCGTGTGCTTTTTTTACGATTTTTAAAAATTCAGTCAGACGATAGAGAAAATTCCGTTTTGTGACTGAATGAAAACTGAAATGTTTACATTTTACACAACTGAGGACACCATCAGTAAGAATAGGAAGGAGGAGAAGGGAGAGAACTGTGTAGACTAATTTGAATATGAAAGGGAGGTCACTCTCAGGTCGATGGTCGTCGAGTTTACGCTGGAGTAGTGTGAAAACAAAAAGGAACGTGGATGTCGGGTTCAGGGGTTTAGGGGTTGGGTTCAGGTAGGTTATAACGACACGTGTAGGCGTTTAAATGTTTAGTTATGTCACCTGAACGACCGAATCTAAAGGAAATACGGGATGGAGGATCATTTATTTTCATCCGCAGAAAACGTGTGTATACAAATACTTTCCTGTTAAGTTTGGCGCAGGTAAGACTAGGTGCGGGGTTAGTGTGAGGACTGGAGCTGAGCTAGGGAGCTAAAGCTGAGTTTTAGATCATGTGTTGTAAGTGGATGATACTTAGTTGTAGCGTCCCCCCCCCCCCCCCCCCTTTAGAAAAGTTGGTGGCGCTTTTAACCAGTCACACACTATCCTGTAACCGTTTTTATTTTGGAATCACTAAATCGATGTAGAACACAAATGAGTCTGCAGAGCCGAGTTGCAGCCAATTTGCTGAATGTTGAATATGTATTATTTAAAATATCCCTTTGCGGTTTAGCGAACTCGACAAAAAAAAAAGTCTAAAGCCTACCAAACACAAGAGATGAAAGAGAAAGTTGGAGAAGATCTGATCTATAGTGAAGCAATGGCCCGTAACCGTCCTTTGTTATTTCACGCGCGAATAAATTAGAACCTCAATGCAGCGTTTTGTTTTGTGGTAGAGATGCGCTTGGGTTGTTTGGACAAGATGCAGGCTGCGTGAATTTGTTGGATAAAACCCAAACTGTATTACTAAAAGTGTCAATGCTGTGTTACTTTGCTGGACAAAACCCCAAAGGCGTATTAATTTGTTGAAGAAAACTCATCGTTATATGGCTTAGTTTGATTAAAAAAAAACATTGTATGACTTTATTCCCCCCCCCCAACATTGCATAACTTTACTGGACAAACCCCAACATTGCATGACTTCCCCCCCCCCAACATTGCATGACTCCCCCCCCCCCAACATTGCATGACTTCCCCCCCCCCCCCCCCAACATTGTATGACTCCCCCCCCCCCAACATTGCATGACTTCCCCCCCCCCAACATTGTATGACTTCCCCCCCCCCCAACATTGTATGACTCCCCCCCCCCCCAACATTGCATGACTTCCCCCCCCCCCCCCAACATTGTATGACTTTATTTGGCAAAACTCCAACACTGTATGACTCAGTTGAAGAAATCCCCTTTACCTTTTTAGCGTTCTGCAAATGAAGTGATTAAAAAACCATCTTAAAGCGATTACAATAGTCGGCATTGTAGTCGTGAGAATTATATAAAAGACAGTAAAAAAACAAAGCCAAACATCAAGCTGAATGAATGAAAAAGGAATCTGAAATTATGTTTTGTTTATTCAGTTTCTGATGTGCAGAGGTGTTTCGTCAGAAGTTTGTCTACCTTGAGGTATAATGACAATCTTCTCAGTGCGTGCCCTCCAACTTCATAAAATATTCCTCACAAGAGCTCCATTCATTTAGAACTAGAAAAAACCTATTTGGCTGAACACAGAGTTTAAACATTGGTCAGGACAATCACGTAGATGCAGTTCCGCGTGAGTGCGTGTCCGAAACTGCGGCTCTTCTCCCTATACTAATTACACTACCACCCCGTATATCCACCTACGATACCACCCTAAATACCACATCCACTACGATATCCACTACCACCCCACACTGCCACATCCACTACTACCCCTAATACCAAACCACATCCGCTAAAACACCTTATACAACACTCCATAACACCCCCACTACCACACCAACTATCACACCAACTACCACCACTACTACTACCACATCAACTACCACCACTTATACAATACCACATCCGCTAAAACACCCAATATAACACTGAACAACACACACACTATCACACCAACTACCACCACTACTGCTACCACATTCATTACCACCCCAATACAACACCCAATACCCCTTTCCACCACTACCACCCACACTTTTACCCCAATTCACACCATCATTTACTGTTTGGATTTGTTATGGTTTTTGTTGTCAAACCCCGACATTTCGGCATTACTACAACATCAATAAGACCAGTTCACTTATTTATACCCAGCCTATCAAATGTTTCATGATAGTTTTTTTTATGTCGCTAAGTGGGCTTTAGGAGACACGAGGAAGGCTTACCAACGTGATATAACTTGCCTTTTGGTCGCTGTTTTCTCTGTCTACACTGGTGCATACAATGGTCAACACTGTGTGGCCTGCTGAACTTGAAATAAATGAAGGCAACTTTTAAAAAATTTAGTCCCAAAAAGTTGGCCTATCGGGAGGTTGTGTTCAGGCTTTTAAATCGAATTCTTTATTGTATTCCCGTGAAGATTCTCTTTAAACTCCTGCTGTTAATATTTCTTACAATTAATACACTAAATCGTGTAACACTTCACGAATGTTCAGTCTTAAAGCCCCTGTATCACACTACACCTGTGGTCAGTCTTAAAGCCCGTGTATCACACTACACCTGTGGTCAGCCTTAAAGCCATGTATCACACTACACCTGTGGTCAGCCTTAAAGCCCGTGTATCACACTACACCTGTGGTCAGTCTTAAAGCCCGTGTATCACACTACACCTGTGGTCAGCCTTAAAGCCCGTGTATCACACTACACCTGTGGTCAGTCTTAAAGCCCGTGTATCACACTACACATGTGGTCAGCCTTAAAGCCATGTATCACACTACACCTGTGGTCAGCCTTAAAGCCCGTGTATCACACTACACCTGTGGTCAGTCTTAAAGCCCCTGTATCACACTACACATGTGGTCAGCCTTAAAGCCATGTATCACACTACACCTGTGGTCAGCCTTAAAGCCCGTGTATCACACTAC